GTTCGGTTTTGTCAAGAAAACATTTGAACTCATTTAACCCGAATCTCATTCAGAAAACCCCACCTCTTTCCCTTTCATCAGAGCCAAGGCATTGCTCTGGTGGTAAAATTGTGCGTCATTAACAATCAGGCTTTTTTGGAAAACACGATGCATGTCGGGATGAAGAAGACGGAAATGGAGAAAATCTTCGCGACGGTTTCATAATATTCAAAGTAAAAAACCGTGTAATTTCAAATAACTCGATCACTGATATTCAGCAACATAGACGTTGCTAGGGGTGATGATGAATTTACATGAGCGGCTATTTTCAATAATCTGTAGTCAAAAATCTCTTCGCTCATTTGCTATTTATTGCCTTTTCTCATAAATTTCGGCTTCCAAAGGCCAGCTTTGAACGAGGCACTAGCGGGAAATTTCGCCTTGAACGCGAGTCACGAGCGGGAAATAGTGAAAACTTAACTGATTTTACAAGTTTTAATATTGCATTTTCTAATAAATGCGGCATATAATTTTAAGAAATAAAATACTTGGGCTTCACGGGTTTTGTCAACAAAAGTTCTGAACACTGATCATGCAGTACCTAATGTGACATTATTCGACAGTTTAATGGATGCACCAGACCGAAGATGACATCTTTGAATGCGGTGCGGTGAAGATGAATGGCATGAAAGCAAGTGCGATAACGCCAACATTCAGTTTAGCAATGAAGCATGGGAAAGAATAAACAGAAGTTATTTGTCATTTGGGAATTTTTAATTTGCATACGATTGATATAAAATTCGTTGCTCATTGATATAAAATTCCATATTATGCGAAGTTTAATAGGACAGACCTAAGCTACAAGAAAGGAAAAAAGCTAAAGTAAGTATCTAAATTACGTTTTTATTAATATCAATGTATGTATTCGTTACCCGCGTGGTGTATTGATATATTGTACGCAATTTAATATAAATACCGAAACGAACAAATTCTCTATCTAACAATAGCACCGTGTTATTTCAACTGATATCATTGCAAACTTTCTTTAAGATGTTTTTGCTTAGATCTCCAAGGTTAATTACTCCGACCATTATAACATTTTTAAAAAAATAATACAATATTCAGTTATACAAATCGGAAACATATACATCAGTCTTTTGTAATTGAGAACTCCTGATCTGCTCCGCGAATAACTATGTTTTAAGAATCTCTTAGAACATCATTAAGACAGTATAAATTAAAAGCTTTAATCATGATTGGTTCATTTGTATTGAGTGACTAATACTAATAGTTTGTTTTTTCTCGTATGAAATACTTGTAGTGTTATTCCCGTATAGAAGTTTATTGCTTGACGAAAAAAAAGGTTTTCAGTTGTATGCATGCGTAGAGAGTTATGAAATAAAATTAATCACAGCTTTTATTTTTCATATAAATTATTGGTACATGCATGCATGCATGTCATGCATGAGTAAGGCAAGTGTGTATTACTGTATAACGGCAGACATGCATTGTATGAATACAAATTATCTTGGTACATAGTACATACACAGATTGCAGGATCCCCTTAACAACAACAGGAATGCCAGAAAATGTACAGTTCCCTCTAAAGGGTACACGCTATACTGCATATACGTATATATAAGATTGTAAATTCTTTGTATGATTTGTAGCAACAACACGTCAACACTCAACACCCAGAATGAATACATTTTTGTGTTTTCTGATATTGGCTTGTTTTACTTATCATGCTCAAGGTAAGGTTTGTGAAATTAAAATTAAAACTAGGCCTGTTATTTACACTGATATTACACGGGTATACGATGAATTTGACAGATTTCTGCTTTTCTTACATTCGAGCAAAAATTGATCATGACATACCAACCTCACTTTGCCAGAGCGTACGTATCCTAATATATAATGCTCTAGCAGAAACATACCCGGTAGAAACCTTTTATATATTTTATTCTTGTCTACGTTTATGTCCTCTCACGTTTATGGTAGTCATACAGTTGTTTTTGCAGCACAATGAATGGACCAGGCAATAATATTTATGCCGTAAATTGGGGATCGTATACAAGTTATGTCTGGGGCGGGTTACTCGAAAGGCGATTACCTTGTGATAAAATGCTCTTTTATACTTCTTGTGAGTGACTGAACCTTCATCGTATACATTGAATAATTATGCAACTGAATAAAAAATTAAGCCCGTGTTTTCTGATCATTGATCACTATATAGGGCAAGCGAACTATTAAAGAGTAGGCCGAATTAATTAGGTGATCTACTTTTTCGCGGGAATTCGAAATTCTCTTGCCATGCAGGCAATCACATCATCGGATTTCAGATATCGCTTCGCGTAGCGCGAATAAAAACGGGCTTTATACGCTATTTACATCCACTACATAATATATTACAATTCTTGAAATCCCCCCCCCCACTTATTATTTGTAAATGATGTTTCCTTTATATAGCAATTGCTTGCCCCTGCAAATGGGAGGAATTTAATGGCCGTTGCTATTATGTCAGCGAAAATGTCGCACCAACTTGGCTCTCGGCAAGGAGCAGCTGTCGTTTACAAGGTGGCGACTTGGTGGTACCCACAAGCTCGGAAATCGATAATTTTGTTTTTAAAGCCATGAAAGCCCACAATGTTCAAGACGTATTCATTGGTCTGTATAGAGTCAGCGAAGGTCTGGGTGACAAAAAGTTTTACACCGTTCGAGGAACCGAACCATCTTACATAAATTGGCGCGTTGGTGAACCGAATAATTATAAGGGAGCTCAGGAAGATTGTGTCAACATAAGAATCTTTGATGGGAAATGGAATGATTTCCCTTGCACAGGATACCATCGTCATTTCATCTGTGAGGGAAGCTTTCAAAGATAAATCACCTGGACTTTGCATGAAACACGTAACTTACATATATCTTATTTGTAGTTTAACAAGTTAAACAATAAAATGTGTGTATGCATATTAAACCTTTGTGGTATGTTTAAGATTCTTCATATTTTTTTCAAATTTGCCCTTCGCCAATCACTTCGTACATTTCGTCGGCATTTACTATGCTACTCGAAATCGGATGCACCAATGAATGAGACATCCCATAATGAAGATCTATATATTGACCAGTTAAAAAATTAAGCATGATGATGAATAGTTCGACTTGAAATTCAGACCCTTTAAACCTGTAGAATTTACCTAAATCGAGTGAAGAGCCAAAAAGCTTAATGAATTTAATAGTTGACTTTTCTTTTTAAGGTCATAGTTTTTCTAGCTTCTGTGCGCATAGATGCGTATATTATAAAAATTAAAATCAACTGTCTATCATAGATTAACAAAACGTCTGCTAACGTCTAAGTAACGTTTTGCCATGCGTCGAGCACAAAATTACAAAATTACTTCTCGAAAGTTCGTATAAAATAATAATGAGTACGAATTCCAAAAACAACTCTTCCTCTATACTTTTTCAGTAAGAAAACTCGCACCCTAGCCTGCGCGCAGACGCTATATAGTAATAACTTCCGGCTTTCCTGCAGGCGGGCGCCAACATTCGGGCTATGTTAGGTTAATAAAAAATGTGATTTCTAAAGCAAATTAAGAAAAAATTCTCTAATCTCAGATCTGAAAGGCCCGATTCAATGGGTAATTAATTACTCTAATTAAAATACACCATTTAAACTTGCACGTTACGCTCCTAATATTATACGAAAAATAAGGGTTTTAATTTTCTCGACCACTTCCGGGAATTGCAGGAATACTGACGCGGTGTTGCGCACGAATGTGTTGATATTAATCTGTCTCTCTGAGACGAGGACGTGCTTATATTAACATTATTAACATTGTTATTGCCGCAAAAACGTGATGGAATTTCCGTGTTAAAATAAAAACTTACATAAAAAAGGAATACCATCACGTTAATGCCGGCTTTTTGTGTAATAGCGCAGACGCTATATAGTAACAACTTTCGGCTTTCCTGCAGGCGGGCGCCAACATTCAGGCTAAATGTCTCCGAAGTGCACGAAATCAAGACATAGAGACTAAAAACACGGAATAAAACGAGATGTCCGGATAAAAGGAGGTCAAAACCCAGTTATTGGATCTTTCCTCCGATCCTTGTTGATTGGTAATCAATCATTCTCGAGTTGCGCTTACCTCGACCGACATAATTACCTTTTTCAGCACACTTTTCGATCCTAAGCTTTTAAAATCTTTTGATGAAGTTGGACAACAATTAGCTATGTGATAAAATCAAACTTCCGACGGCTACCGTACCAACGACAAGATATTGGATATATAATTATGGAGAACATGAAAACTGAATGGATAAAATAAGTGTTGAAAGTTAAGATGATGTTCTAGTATTTTTGGTAGTCCAGGTATTTCAGTTCTATAGTGTATATTATGTTAAAAGTAGTTTTAAAAAAAGTAACGAAAAGTACGTGAAAAGTATAACCCTCAAAACGAAGGAATACGCATCTGCTGTACACTAATATAAATTTCGAAAATGTTCAAAAAATTATTCATTCCCTTGAAGCGAACCCTGGCAACGCCACTCTGGCAACTCTGGCATCTTACGATACCGAAGCAGTTTTGCACTTAATAGGTACGAACCTCACATAATTTCATAACCGACTGTACGGGCTATCATTGCTGTGACGAGCCCGACCTCTTCCACTGAAAGTCCGCGGGCCCTGGTTACTAATTTGTGTGAGCAGTTGACCTGTTAGGGGAATGGGGCCCGAACACTCAGTGCTTTTGGCAGAGAGCCGGTCCTCCAGGAATTTAATATAGCTCAGTGGGCCCGAAATGAGAATTTTGCTAAAATTTAAAAAACCAGTCCCATCTTTAAATTGCTTCTAGTTATGTGCATGTGGATTTTGAGCATATACATTATGCTTAGGCTAGAGTGGCTTCCCTATTGGATTTCCCCTCCGAGTATTGTGCCTGTGTTTAGGGGTGTTGAACAGAGCAGAGCGCAGGCATGCGGGCTTTGAAAAATATTTATTATTTACTGTGATAAAGTTCAATAAAACAGTATTGTAAGTCAGGCTCTATTGCAAAGGATCATTTCGAGGTACTACAGAGTAATTTATATGGTGTAATAAATGTTCAAATATTTTTTTGGGCGAGAGCAAGAGAGTATAAATACTGATCCCTTGAACTCTGATACCAATTCGTACTTGAAATATGCAGATAAACCTCAGAAGGCATGGAGATTTGCACAATCATCCCAAGTATTCAAAGAAGTAGAATTGCCTATAAATGAACCTAAAAAGGAGGGCCATGTTAGAGTTGTCTGTATTTCTGATACACATGGCCGTATTATAGAAAATGTTCCTGAAGGAGATATATTAATTCATGCAGGGGACTTCACTAAACGGGGAAAAATTGAGGAAGTGGAAAAGTTTAACCAGTTTTTAGGGTCACTCAATCATCCACATAAAGTGGTGATTGCTGGTAACCATGATATTGGTTTTCATGAAGAGTCAGCTCAAAGGATGCATGGTAAGAATTTTGTACCTGAAGCAGAAGTGAAGGCAGCTTTGACAGATTGTACATACCTACAAGACTCTGAAGTTGACATATTAGGTTTGCGGATTTATGGTTCACCTTGGTAAGTTTGTAGATTTTTTACCGCTATTCTACACGGCCAAAAATTGATCAGGTTGTTGCATCAGGGGTGAACAGTGCTGTGCTGCACCTTGGGACAGTATTGTTAATAATGTTGTTGAACCTTGTTGAATCATCAATGCATGTTGTTGTAATCACGATGCAATGTTGTTGTAACCAGTTGTTAACAAGTGGATTCGACAAGCTTCAACAACATTGTAAACAATAGTGTTCACAGGATGCAGCAAAACAATGCTCGCTCCTGTTTTTAACAAGGTACATCAAAATGATGATTTTTATGCATGTACTGTAGTTATTATCCAGTACACAGACTTATAACCATAGCTTTGATACATTAGTGAATAATGGTAAATATTTCATTTGTTCTCCTTCAAGTTTTAGGGTTAATTTATTAAAAACAATTATATTGTCTGTATATAAGCCCCCTGTGTATATAGTATCATCAAAAAACCCTTGTGAACCTATATAAGCCCAGGGCATATAGTTGTTGGATAATACGTACCATCTGACGAATGACATGGCATGTTAGCATACTTGCTCTTGTCTTATATGGCTGAAAGCTGACTTCTAGAGGCTCTATTATCCTGCATGGTCAGCTTTCAGCTCATATGTGACTTGACTTTGTGGTATATGAGTGGCATAATTGCTATAAATAAGCAGTATCCATGACCTAACCTGTTTCAACTTTCACATATGCAGTATGTATTAACTGGTAATATGCATATAGGGAATATATCTATACATATAACATACTAGTGCATACATTTAATTCCAAGGAATACAGCTAGAAATTAATTCAAGTTTGTTTGCTTTATTTTAAGCACTTGTGATGTGTATAGACAGCTAGTGTAAATTGATATTTACTTTGCATGATTTAATAAAACCCAATTTTATCCTCAGAATTTGGTTGCATGGTACATATTTATTGGTATCAACATCACTACTGTAGGTCATCATGCATGTGAATAGATATAATTTGCAATAAAAGAATTAGTAAAACCCAATTAAACTTTGTCCCATCTACATAATATGTAATTTTGTAGAATTAATGGCATACTAGGTTGGTATAATATTTCTGTCACCATCCAAATGTCTGCAGGGCAGACAGTAATAATGAATCAATCAGGGATGAATAAGGATCAAGGGAATCAAACTATTCAAAATTTTTAAATCCGTTTCTTTTACTTACTGCATGGAGAAGTTTACCCTAAAGACAATGTTAAAAAATTCTGATGATCTCAGTGAATTTTGCCTGTTATATTTCTCTCATGTGTGATGATGAAGATTTTAGTTAAAAGTGCTGTCTTATAAAACCTCAAAAAATGTTGTACAGTCTGTACTAATGAAAATATTTTTAAAAAGTCAACTTTGAGCCAACTGTCTGAAATGCCTGTTGATGGGAGGGTTTAGATTAACTTCATGAGGTCTATGAGTACATTAAATAGTAGGTGCATGAAATTAGCAAACAATTGCATGAGTGATTTCAGTATAATATATTCCGGTTTAGATTTTTGAAAACAATTGTGCAAATGTCTCATTTAGCCTTAATAATATTCAATCTTGTGCTTTTTCAGTCTGGTTTATCAGGCTAAAACTGTTACATGCAAATTTACACCCCGGCAAGGCGGGTTACCTTATTGACACAACCGGGTCAGGCTGCCAGCCTAGCAAGCCGAGAGGGCTTAGCTTGGTTGCATGTAATCAAGATGCTTGAGTTGACTATAATTACTATACAAAACCGATACAAAGCAGGTAAGGGTAAAACGGGCTGGCCTGGTCCATGGTACATGAAGTACAAAAAGTGGAAGTCTAGATATGGCTCCTAGGTACTGGCAACGGCCTCGTACCCAGGCGCTTTAATAGTAAAATATATGTCCTGCGTGTTTGCTTTTTTTAGCTGACTTGCTGACCTCTATACAATACCTGAATGCAACATTATTTTTTTACTATTAAAGCGCCTGGGTATGAGGCTGTACTGGCAATCTGTTGGACTTGGTATTAATAATAATATTTACATAAATTTACATCAGGACACCAGCGTTTCGTGACTGGGCATTTAATGAAGAACGTGGTGATGCTATCGATGAAATCTGGAAGAAAATTCCAAAAGATATTGATATTTTGGTCACGCATGGTCCTCCTCTAGGTATTGAAAAAAAAAGATTCAGTAACTTTCACAATTTTTTTTGATTATTTTAACAGGTGACGGGGCTAAGAGCTTTCGGACGGGGGTAGGGAAGGGGGGCGGAAAAAATAGTGTTGCCATTAAATATCAATTGTACATTGGGAAATTAAACTACAAATATTATTATGTATAGATCTTTTCACCGCTCACTTGTTTTTCTATTTTTTTTAATCGCGATTGGGTATAGACCTGAGCAGTAAATTTAGTCTATTTTGCGCGCGTGGAAGGGGGTTGGGGGCAACGGTTACGCATCTGATAAAATGTCAATACCAATCAATACATTGTCTCTTATTTTCACTATTCCTGTGTTTTTTCTCTGCCTTTAAATCTTAAACCTGATTGGCGAGGGGTTGCCAATCGTACCAAATCACACTTAACCTATGCTAATCGCATGCATATACTTTACAGGCAGATGTGATGTGGTAGCCTTCGGCAGAAGCCATGCTGGTTGTGCAAACTTATTAGACAGAGTACAGAACCATATTAAACCTAGATATCATATCTTTGGACATATTCACGAAGGTTTGTACACCCCGCGTATAGTCCAACGCAGCTGTCATTTTTTTTCCTCTCAAGGCCATCGTCCAGAGAGTTTTAGCAGTGACTCTAATATGACTACGAAGATTCCTCGTTCTCTTCTGTTGTTTGCTGACGCAATCAGCCAAAACTCCCAGCCGTCGAACGTCGAGTGCGTGTTTGTTGAGTAGTTTCGTATTCGAAAGTCCAGCGACTAATAAATAGAAAACATTTCCCGTGTTTCTGAACAGTTATAGAAACACGCCAGAGAGAACGAGAAATACAGGCTCGTTTTCACAAGTGCTTCTTTAACTGTATCAGGGACCGCGGAGCATTTTTCGTATTGTTGGGGCTCGTATTGCTTGGGGGGGTCTGGAGGCATAGCCCTGTGTCTCTGAAATGGCTGCAAATGCCTCTAAATTTTAAGGATTATTGGGAAATACTTTTTTGTCTTTATGTTTTTTACTTTGGCCAAACATATGTATTGAACATAACTAATTTCAATCAATTTCCATGTAAAACTGCTGTTGCACGTTGAAGAAGTAAAAGTTACTGATAGTATTCAAGATAAGATACACCGTGAATACTTGTAAGCAAAAGATACAAATTGCAAAAAATAGTGCTTGTGAATTTGAATGAACTAAAAAGAGTTCCAAATTAAAACTAAATACGGAAAATTATTGGTGGGGCTAAAGCCCAGCGAGCCACCCTGCTCCGCGGTCCCTGTGTATATAAACACAAGAAAAAATTTCTATTTCTTTTATATAATTTAACTCAATCAAAAATCATTACATTACTTCGCTTGTCAATTTCGGCGGGAAAAGTCCCGTGTTTCTATGCAGTTATAGAAGCACGCTTCTCGTCCAATCAGCACGCGCGTACTATAAATCTTACATTATAAATGAGTTTCGTCAGATGGCCGAGGCATGCAGCACCGAGTTAGCGCACCATAGTCACTGCTAAAGCTCCCTATTATATCCTACAAAAAATGCAACATTATTTTATGAAAGGGTTCTCGTTGCATTTTTATTTCAGAACTTTTCGAGTCGACTAGATAGATAATATTTGACGTTTAGTACTCTTTTCATGGTTTGAAGCCTGGATTTTTAACATTTACTTAAACTACCTTCTATGATTTGGTAGCCACTGTTGATTGAGGTTACAATTTTGCATTCAAACCTGTTTCGAATATAATCAAATTTTCTCCGGATGGCACCCGCACCACACCTTCCCCAATCATTTGGATTACTCGACCATGGTGGAATATAGCAGAATATTTTATGCTACTCCATGGTCGAATATACCGGAATATGGTATACTCGACCTCGGGTACTCGATTAGGTACATTAGACAATCCCTATTTTTTATCGTGTCTTAATTTCGACTAATGCAATTCCACGAATTGCGTCAGTGCTCGTCAGTTCTCTTACTGGGACTGCCCTTCGATAGCGCTTATCCAGCTTTCGGCCCCTGAACATTTCTCGTTATATCCTAGGTTATGGAAATTCTTCAGATGGTACAACAACGTTTATCAATGCCTCCACATGCAATCTATTGTATTTTGCAGTCCATAAGCCTGTCGTCTTTGACATTGAGGGTAATATAAAAACTGGGAAGAATGACACTGATAGCTGTGGCTAGTGACTCTGAAATATATAGTACTTTGTAAGGCTTTAATGCTTTTGTTGTGATCAGTTCAATGGTAGTGTTTAGAATCTGATCATTCATCTGCTGGTCATATGTACATCATGCATTATGATTCTCAAAAGAACTGCAGTTATTTATTATTGAGCGGGTGCCCTTTGATGAGTTATAGGAGTAAAAATATTCGAATGTGGTATCATAGTAAAATATATTTATCATTTATTGACCTGGAGTGAGGGGGAGTCGGCAAAATATTTCCCTCAGTAAAGATATTTCCCTAGAGCTTCTGTATGTCTTTCGTTGAGAATACGGTTAATTTTCTTGTCATCGTTAATTTCTTGATTTCAAACAAACAGCAGCACTATTCCCGCAATAATTTTTAGTGGGTGCGTGTTGTCCTCGCGAGACGTCGCGTAGGATAAATCTAATATCACTGGGTGATAAATTTAATGTCACACCCCTAGTTAGCTCGGAAATAGGGGACTGGGAAGCGATACGGCGAAAAATCTTCGCGTCACATGGTACATATAATGTTTTTTGATTGGACAATTTGAATTTGAGGTATAATATATAAAGTATATTACACAGCAGCTACAGGATATGAATTTCATCTTCTAATCAGAGCTGTAGAAGTGAAGCAGAGGGTGCTTGTAGTTTATTGCGAATAGTAATTGAACTTTAGCGTTTCTAGCTGTTTTCAAAATCTTTCATAGTTTGTTGTAGATTTAGTCGCGTCACTGATCTCTGTTTGTGTGAGTGTCTATTCTAGTTCTACTCGAAGTCGATGGGCCGGCGGCATAAAAAGATGTTTCACTGTATACAGTGAAAATTCTAATCAGAGCTGTGTATTTTTCACGAATCCACTACAATTAAACTACCTATACCCAACATGTATACTCGAGAATTCCTACGCCGAATGAAGGGAATTTGAAAATTTTATATAATTGTACAATATCAAACCGGTTAACGTTCAGTTTTCAGTATATTTACTAAGAACCCAGAAAAAAAACATTGGCTTCGACTTGCCCCTTGGTTATCATCTAGTTGTACTTTAGTTCACTGGATCACGTAACAGCCTTCATTACCTGACGTTTGGCTGCGTTAACACTCGGTGTCTCCGAGCTTCTTCGTCACGATATGTGAGTTTGAATTGATTGATGAATGGTAATTACTGTATTAATTCATGTCTAGGGCCGGTTGTTTCAAGGCCGTTTAACTTAAACGGTGGATAAGTCAAAACTGTTGTTGAATAAAACGATAGACTGGCTTGCTACTTTAAAATTATCCACCGTTCAAGCTAAATGGGCTCGATAACAACCGTGAAATGGCCCCCGGCCCTGAGGCAGGTTGTATTAAAGCCTGGTAGCGCTATCCACCGGATAGTTTTTTTTTCAATCGCTTTAAATCGTCCGTTGCTGGCCCAAACTTTGAATACACCTTAGATTCCTAAATTGCGGATCCACTTTGATAATTGTTGCTTCCCAAACTGAAATTTTATTGCTTTTTAAGCATTTTTGTTTTTGAACTTTTGAAATAATCACTATCCGGTGGATAGCGCTATCCAGCTTTCATACAACCGGCCCCAGGGCAATAAAATTTTTGTCTGCCTTTTGATATCCAATTTTAATCTGTTCCGATAGCAAACAGGTATTGTGTATAAACCGGACCTATATAACTTGTATTTCCTTTAGCTGATAAAAAATTCATTACATATACATAATTATATATTTCAATCCGGCTTTCCGAGCGGCTTTCATTGTGATATAACGACTGTTTGTGCGTGATGTCAAACCGACAATTAATTTTCTAAATTATTAATTAATTTGTATGCTTAAGTTAATGAGAAGAAGTCTTAAATATAACAAACGCTGCTATAATCAGCATTAATATTATTCACACAGCATTTGCCATTTGATTTATACTCAGAATTGATTAAAGTTTCGCGCACCCAACCTGGCAGGTTTAAATGGCATGTTATTGAATGGACACAAAGTGTCATTCACACGCGAGACAAATAGATAGCAGTCAGAACTGTATTATATTTATTTTTCTAACTATTTTCAGATCACTTGGAGATGTCCCTTAGGGCAAAGAATTTATTTAATCGTGATTGCCCAAGTAATCGAACAATCGAGTAATGACGTCGATCGCTAATAGCTGAATTATCAAAGTGCTGTTTTTACATTATCAAGATGAGGGATTTCCGCTTCTGGTTATTCATAAAGGCAACCACATGATATTTCCGGCCCCAGTATACAATGTTTATAAAATGTATAACGACATGCTTTGCCCTAAAATGCGTCAGCAGAAAGCAGTGTAATAGTATCTTCTTTAAGAGATCCTAATATGGAGTCCAACCACACGGCGTTCTGTGAATATCAAGACTTCATAGGAGCGATTACAACATGGAATTTCGTTGTTTACTTTTGTATCATATTCACTGCGGTAACGGCCAACGTTATGCTGTTGTTTGGCATCTACAGAAATCCACTAAAATGCTTTCGTAACCCAACGACATATTTCATCACGAATTTAGCCATCGCTGATTTGCTGAACGCTTTGTATTATCTTGTACAAGTCTTGGCGACACAGACGACATATAAAACTGCTTACTGTTTCCCAGCACCCTGGCCGAGAATGTTCTCAGCCATTGGAAATGTTGCCTATTTTATAACAGTTCCTTCAGTAACTATTCTGGCGTTAGAGAGATATGTGAGCATTGCCCATCCATTATGGCATCAAGTGAAAGTCACCTCTCGGCTGTGTTTTACCTGCATTGCATTGGTGTGGATAGTCACAGCTACCTATACTGCAATAATACAGCTCATAAACTCTGGTTGGGCAATATTTGTGACAATTTACCCAAGCGTGTTCTACCTAACTACAGTCTTGATCTATGTCCTGGCCTGTATTTCAATTCGTAAACATCGCTTTTCTTTCTCAACGGACAGCACAAAATCAGACATTGCGAAAAGAATGACGCAGCTTCGTTTGAGAAATCAAAACCGCTTTTTGACTACCGTATTTATTATCAATGTTGTGCTATTAGGTGGAATAGTTCCAATTATAGTTGGTACTTATCTTTCAAACACAATCGAAGGCCCGGTTTCATCAACTTTAGACGTGTTGTCTTTCCTCGTAGATATTCTGTTTTTCCTCAATATGGCTGTGAATCCTTTTCTGTACATATGGAGGTTACCAAAATATAGGAAAACATTTCTTGTTATGTACTGTTGCAAGAAATAAACAGAGAGACAGGCGTCTATCATGGCAGACACGTAATTATTATACCGGTCCAATTAGTTCTCGTTTTAGCATATTTCCTCGGAAACCTATAGGGTCATCTAAGTTTTAATGAGCCATGCACAAGGGAACCCTGCTATCTTGGAGTGTGTGGATAGTGGAGAAATAATTTTTCTGCGTAGATCGTAATATGTTACACAATAGTCCCAGTGTTTAAATGTTCAACACTATCAACGGGACATCTGAAGAACCTTGATTAAAATAAAAAACTTTATTGAAAGCTCGCCGTTACGTATATGTTAGGGTAGGCCACATGATTAACAGGAGGAATATTTATGCCCCTACACGAGACTACACGAATTTTTTTTTTGACAACAAGATCTTTGGTTAGACGCGATAAAGTAAAGCTACAATATTTTTCTTGATCTCTCGTGTAAACATTTAACTCGGTTGAATATCATCACTTTCGATAAAAAGATGTCGTGCATGAGTCGACAGAGTCGTGACCAACTATTCCAGCGTTGTGTGGATAGGATAGGTCTATACGTTATTAACCTAATGGTGCTGTCTCTGCTAAATGATCTTACAAAATCACGCTATGAGGCAAATCAAGTTTAACTCATCATGGATTCAGCTCCAGAATTCATGATCCCTCAAGCGTATTATTTACTACATATTTCATATGCAAACGAGGCGGAAACATCCTGGTTATTGACTTATTGTTAATTGAAATTGATGTTAAATCTCTCCCACGCTAAGTTTTCTACGTCTGATATAAATTACCTTGTTTTGCTTTACCTTGAAGAACGAATTGCTTGAGAATAGGTTTGTTAACAAAATGGGGAAAGCCGCAACAAAGGCCTAGTACACAAGCAGACGATAGATAATCCCAACAACACATGATTGTCGCAAACGAGGAATCGAAGAGGCCGGTTGCTCGTTCTGACCCTCCACTTTTTATTCAGACCAAAATCCTATTTTTTCTTAGAGGGGAGAAAAAAGGTTTCAACCTCAACGTTCCGCTACACCTAATTTCTTATTGCCTGGCATATTTCACAGTTGGGCATGTAGCCTTGGGTTACGCATTTTGTTATCATTAGTAAAACGAGTAGCTAAAACTGACGTATGATAACGTTCACCAATAGTTGGCCATAATGTGAATGAGGTTGAGCCGTGTTGTTACAACGACAAAATAAGCCTTTACGTCTGTTTTACATCCCCCCTCCCCTGCGTGGGATGCTGACGTCTTTGCAATTGGTGTGACGTCACAGCGTGGAATGAGACTATGTTTTTTTCGCACGTTATGACGTCACTCTTTAGATACAACGATTTCACACATGACGATTAACAATCATGTCATGGGCAGTGGATTCCTTAAAACGAAGGATTATGAAATATATTAAGAATAATTTTCCAAGATGCTAGTATGTTTGATACATTTCTTCTGGGGAGTTACGATGTAAACTAAGGTTTAATCGACAACAGACGAGATTTTTTAAAACGGAAATAAGCATGTTCATTAAAATAATGAATGAGGGAGATACGATTTTTGACAATTATGAGAAATTTTACTCACACACACTACGAGCAAACGATGCAGAGTTTCACTCGAAATTACCTTAGTAAAAAACTCCGTCTTTACCTATAGCTGGCGCTGGCGCGGCTTTTACAGTTTTGCCGCGATTTTTTGTTTTTATTATAATAGAGCTTGACGTGACGTATTTTCTACAGTACAAGATCTTAAAAGTGTTTCTATAACTAGGTAAACGCCACACATATATAAAAGTATTTACAGCGTAATTCAACAGTAAAAACATGTCAGCTGTATTGAATATATGCAAAGTTGCGTCATTCTCTGTTACCAAGGAGCCAATGTCTGTTGCCCAGAGAATAATTGATGCCGGAATAAGTCCAAGAAAAAAGCCAAGACAGGTCATAAACATCGTTTGCAGAAAAAAATGTTCGTTTCGTAAACGAGCTTCAGCTGATTTTTGAGATGCTTTTGAGTTGCTTGTCGATCTTTTAAACGCCAAACGTCGTCTACGGACAGTTACTGTAGCGACTAAATAACATGCCAGAGTTGCCACAATAAATAATACCAAAGATGATTTTTCCAGTATATAGTAGCCTTGTCTTTGGTGAAAACGAAACAAAAGAATGTAACGTATTCCGACTAAAATGCCACTCGTCAGCCATATGATCGCAAGCCAGGTGTAGCATATTCTTGCAGTAACATTAACTTTATGCCACAGTGGATACACGATCGCTAGACAGCGTTCTAATGCTAGACTGAATATCGATTCAAAATTGACAAAAAACAACATTTCGAATAGAAAATAGTTGAGGATTTTCAACGAGTGCGGTAAACCATCAATGCCATCGAATTTTGTAAGCCAGAGCAACGAATCTTCCAAAAAGAAACACGAATTAAGAAGGTCTGAAACAGCAAGTTGAAAAATGAAATATGATGTCGAGTTGCGGAAACATTTCTGTGGATCTTTAAATATGGCAAAGAGTAATAAACTATTTGCCAAGATTGTGATTACCGTAACTATTATGAAAAACCCACAGCTCCAAGGCTTGATTTCTGCGAAAAAAACTACGGCAAATCTCGTTTCTTCTACGCTGGAGTTCGTCGCTTTATTCATGTTTGAATATTACAAGGCAGGTGTTTTGGTGTGATTATTGTTTATGTTTTGCGCTCGTTGATTAACACTATAGAAAAGCAATTTTAATCAATTTCATAATAAAGATGGAGCACACGAGGGAATATACACACACGCATGTTAAATATAGATGAAAATTTATTCATAATAATAATTTATAATAATAATTCATTATAATAACAATGCTTATTTGACTACAACTCTTATAACATGTTCGATATAGACTTTGACTTAATGTTGAAGTCAGGGCAATGACACCTTGAACTCATGCATGCATCAACATTTTTTCATTAGATACTAGTGTCGTTTATCTCCAGATTTACCCTTTATTAATGCATCCCCCTGCATCAGCTCAATATTGCCAATCGACTATCAACGATCAGGTGTAAGGTTCACGTGGAAAAATTGGGGTGAGTTTTTCCAGTTGAAATTGTTTCTTAACGTATTTACAAAATATTAATAATATAAAATGAATATTACGAAGAAGAAGCTACTCTGGTCCACAGTGGAATTGAGCCAGCGACCATTGGTTTGCTAGCCCGGTGCGACGACACACCAACTTTTAACGCTAGACTAGACAGAATTTCATGGGTTTTTTTTAAGTTGTAAATATTCTCTCCTCGGACGTATTCTTTCGCAATTATTTATTATTGAAATGGTGCAACCCAGCTATGAATTACATAGACTGCTTTCTGATAAACATTCAGCACAAATAAAAGGGAAACAAGAGCAAATAGTGACATAATTTATAATTTACTCCGCTTAACTCGCTTAACTCGAACTCCTTTGCTAATTCGAACAAATTTTGTTTTCCCTTGGTCAAATATATCTAGTTAACTCGAACTTTGTTTTGGTTTCGCAGATCGCAAACCTTAAAATGTGAGAACATAGCATTTATATCGATACAGCAACAAACTTGCATTTCTATCCAAACAACAACAACTTAATCAGTGTAGAATTGTACATAGATGCTTATAAATTTTGTGTAGTGCCACGGTCGTTAGTGATCTACCCTTTTTATAGTTCCTTTTGTATTCTTTCGATCTTTTTAATTTTAAAACGTCGCCCACTCTCGGTGACAATTCATATTGGTAGGCATGATATCCCTTGATCATTCGATTGAATTTTATACCTTATTGCTGCCGAAGGCAGCTTCCTATTCTTGGCAGGGCAGGCTAACATTTCGCCAGAGTTCATTCGACCCAGTCTTTAGCGAGACGTATGTATTTGTGTATGTAGTCAAAATCTCGATTTGTAAATGTCTGCATGTCCGCGTAAGACAAGATCACACAACTCACATTTCTTGCCATCATTGCTATTGTATATTGATCATGAACTCGTATGTATTTGAGTATGTAGTCAAAATATCGATTTGTAAATGTGTCTCCTCGCGTTTATGCGAAATCATTGCTATTGTATATTGATCATGAACTGGCAAGTTATTTTACTTGTAATGCGGCTGGACGCATAGACATGCATTAATCATTATAGTAAGGGAGAGATAGACTCGCACAAATAACACTCGCACATATAACAGAATACTACGTAAGTGGATCGAAATATATAGCATAACTCCTATAATATTTAAATTAACCAATTTTAAAGTGAACACAACAATTTCCCAAGTGGCAAGTATAAAAACATTTTCAGTACTCCTCTAACTGTCCAAATATATTAGGCATTCAACAACAATTACAGTAATGTTTACTTGTGATGTTCAGCTAAATTACCCAAGTTAATGTTCACTTGCTAGGTGCATTCAACAACAATGAAATAACAAATTATTTAGAAATATAATAAATTATTTAGAAATATATGCCCAAGTAATGTTCACTTGTTCTGCATTCAACAACAGCAGTAATGGTAAATAGTGTAATGTTCACTTGTGATACATAAATTATTTAGCAATGCTAGAAATATATGCCCAAGTAATGTTCACTTCTTCTGCATTCAACAACAGGAGTAATGGTAAATAGTGCGATGTTCACTTGAGATATATAAATTATTCATCAATTCTCAACATTTTGTACTTCATTACTTATTCGATTACTTTGTTACTTCGAAGCTAGGTTAGCGCTAACCCTAGGTTAAATTTTACTCTGCTGCTTTGGTTTATGGCTCTGCACCGTTATTTGTTTCAAGACTTTACAATATAAGACTTCTATTTATTCACAAAATATTTATGGAAAACATGTTCAACTACAGAAACGAACGATTAAAAAAAACTGATGTAAAAATTTGAATTAACGGCCAGGGTTAAGCTAATAGGCTTTTGAACAACTGGCCCCTAGAAGCTATCCAAAGTATTGACAATCAACAACTAATATCAATGTGCTAAAGAGTGCCAAAAACAAATCTTGTTCCCACTGACGACTCAAAAATGTCTGCAAAATGTGATGTGACCAGTAGGACATTTAACACTGGTGTTTTTTCGAACATATGAACTCACTGCAGAAAAACGATTGCATGCACTTTTTCCGTTGTTGCAATAACCAACTGTTCACTGAATGTGGAAATATAAAAGACTATTTAAACTGTTCTACTTATTTACAATATATATTGTGTATTTTTTCTCCCATTGTA